CACAATTAAATATTATTGAAACAGATGACATATCTGTCCAGATTAGAGATGCTTTTAGTAGGGGTTGTGCATATTAATAATACAAATGCCCCAAAGAATTGAAGATTAAGAACTAAACACCTTATATATATATATACTCCCTATGCCCTTACTTATTTAATTTATTTCACAGTTTCTTTATTTTCCAATTTGTAGAATCTATGTACGTTTAGGTATTTTTCTCTAATGCTACCCTTTGTATACTATCCAACTTAATTACGTTTTTGCCAAGAGGAACAAAATAGTAAGGTGGGTTTGGATGCGAGCAATTTAGGGAAAATGCTCCGTATTAAAAGTTTTAATTAGTTTATGACCATTTTTGTAAAGGGGAAATTTGAATCTCCACTCCATTTTTGAGTAATATTGGACTATGTACCATATTTTTTAAAATTTAATGTGTCCCTCTCTATCAGACAATGATTTGTGAAGGCATGAGGTGCAAAGCCAAATGGTTTAGAATAGAGTGCACATATTAATAGCCTGTTCGGTAAGCTATGTTTTCAGTTTAAATTTCACGCGCTGAATAGTGTAATAATAACAAATAGTAAGATTGTAATTACTTTTTGGCTGAAGTTACTCTAAAGGATAATTTTAGCTATTTTCGTAATTTTATTAGTACAATATATTTTAGATATGGTTTTTAATAATTCATCACATGTACATTAAGCTAATTCAGCAACTTCCGCCAAAATTTCATCAATTTCAGCAGTTTCAGCCGGTTTGAGTATTACCAAACGAACTCTATCTTTTCTGACAATGAGGTGCTAAAAATCCAATTCACACAAAACATGAGGTGCAAAGTCAAATCCCGTTATGCCATTAGGTTAACCTAGCGTGAAAAACATGAGTGGAAAGTAATTCCATGATTGCTCATGTTTTGGAAATCACAGCTCGTTTGAGTTTATGTGAGTTCTATTTTAATGTGAGGTGTTCCCAAGACACACAATCATATAAACTTGAAAGAAGTGTCAAACAGACTCTAAACGATCAAATTCAAACTATGGGATGTCGAATAAATGAACAATATAAGTCAAATTTGATGTCATATTGATAAGAGTAATCTTAACAATCACATATTTTTACATTGACACTTTGTATATTAACAGAAACTCTGCAACTCAATCCTCATCAGAATCATTTAAATTACTCCCCTATTACCATCATTGTCAATTTTGAAAGAAAGAAAGCAGCATTCCATTACTCATGACTCTATCGTAAATTCAGTATGGTAGTAAAATGTGTGTGCTAATTTATTTTGTGGCAAATGATGAACAAATTAAAAATTGTGGCATAATTCTTTTCTTTTGGGTCGGGCCTAGAAGCACGAGTTGGGGCTAGACTAGGCCTGAAGAACTAGGCACTTGGGCTAGTACCAATGCTTTAGATTCGTGGATATAGTTTTAGATATTGTTTGGGCGGTTGGGCAAATTATGCAACACCCAAATTATGCCCGATCCATCGCAAATTAAAAATCTCCATATTTTCTATGTCGAACAATTAAGTAAAAAATTATCAGATTTTTTTTTCTATGGTCAACCCTCACCTTGATTTTTTGAGAAACTTAATTAATTGAGGAGTATCTTTTACTAATACGAAAGAAGTTTTTCTAAATTAAAAGGGTGTTCTAATTTTCTCCAAAATATTACGTAGCAGTAGTTTACGTGTGCATATATTAAACAATTCTAAATTATGTATAGGGGAAAATGTCAATTTGATCTCTGTAATATCATGAAAAAGTCAGTTAGGTCATTGTATTTTGATAAAAATCAATCATATCCCCAAACTTTGAGTGCGTTTGGTTAACCGCGGCTGAGCTCCAATCCGCCAATTTTCACAAAAGAAAACATTGCAAATTAAAATGCAGCGGTTAGATCCGAATCCGCCAAAAAACAAACATGCACTTTGTAAAAACGTTCAGTTGAGTCTATTTGCGGGTTACTTATCATGTAGCAGGTCACTCGCTGATGTACCACACACGTGGCAACACAATCAACAGTGAATTTGTTGACGTGGCGCACATGCAGAAGTCTAATCAGCCATTTTTCGATGACGTGACACACACATGGACCGCTACATGTGCCCTATGCGCCACGTCAGCAAGTGACCTGTTACATGATAAGTAACCTGCAAATAGACACAATTGAACGTTTTTATTTTATAAAGTTCGAGAATTTGATTTTTTTTAAGTACGAGAATCCAATTGACTTTTTCATGATAGTACAAGAATCAAATTGACAGTTTTGCTTATGTGTATGCTAAAAATAAAAGTTTCAATGTTCCAATGAAAGACAAAATGCAGCAGTAGACATGCATGCACATTTACAAAGCGCGGCTATTCTATTGCCGGAAAGGAGATTCAAAATGATATATTTTGCCACAAATGATTCGCAGTCGGTTAATTTCGTTACACACGTACGGCGTATGCCCAAGTGATGGCCGTTATTATATTCCAAATGTTTTTTCGTTTTCAGAATTTGATTCTTTCAAGATATATATGCCCTACAGAACTACCAAAATATACTCCCTCCGTAACTTTAGAATCTTCCCATTTCAAAAGTAGGTAGATTAAGAATAGTGAAAGATGATATGAATTATTGAGGGTATGATGAGAAAATAGTGGAATAATGTGGTGGAATGTAGGATAAATCCAAAAAAAAGTAGTTGTAATAGTGTATTATTTTAATAATTATTGAGGGTATGATGAGAAGATTTAGAAATGGGAAGATTTTTGTTTAAAAGAAAGTGAGAAGATTTTTAAGTTACGGAGGAAGTATAGAATTGAGTACTTGATGATATTTTCTCCTTGTTGATCACCTTTTTTTGTCTTATCTTTCGAATGTGGTCTACCTTAGAGTACTTATCATTTATGAGGTAGATCTGGTCATATTCTTATTATTACTACCTTGGTTTCACTAACATAAGGAAATGAAGAGGTGGTGTGATTATTAAGAAAAATAGTTTTATGTTATTGATATTGAATTGATAAAATAAGAATAAAGTAAGAATTTGAGAAAATTTTAGTGAAGTAAACCGAAGAGGAAATACGAGACAATTTTTGTTGGATGGAGAGAATATATACGTAGTACTCGTATATTACAAGCACACTATCAAATTACAGAAATTAGGTTCCAAATAAATGTGTTAATGTCTTTTGCCAAGTATAATGGGGCACGACCGGACGAGGAGTACGTAGCTTGAACATTTGTACGAGCTTGAAAAAACAGGCAAAGAAAACAAAAGTTAAAATTTAAGAATTGAAATTGGTTAAAACATGGATACAGTGCAACTTACTATATATATTTTCAAATCAAATGAACATAATTGTAACAAAGAAGTAGACAAAAATTTAATTGAAAAATAGACGAGCCTTTCTCTGATGTATTAAGTACAGTATTTAGAGTACGTGGATTATATGCATGTAGAGAATGTATACCGAAATTTGTAACTCATACCATATACCATACCGAAGGATGGATTGATTGTACTCCGTACATCTTTACCGCTCTAGATGTTCATGCATACTCCGTATATACATATATTAACTCCTAATATGTATACATAGAGGACTTTTCATGTCCAGCCGGCCTGACGGGAACCGCCGTCCGGCCGAGGGCATTTCGGGTACTTCCCGATGTAATTTTTTGATGAAATTTTTTGAGCATGTTCTTCATGAAGTCTAGTTTATCCATACCAAATTTCAGCTCAAAATTCGATCGGGAAGGCATTCAAATAATTTCTTGAAGTTAACTGGGCAGTTCATACATATAAACTGCCCAGTTAACTTCACAAAATTATTTGAATGCCTTCCCGATCGAATTTTGAGCTGAAATTTGGTATGGACAAACTAGACTTCATGAAGAACATGCTCAAAAAATTTCATCAAAAAATTCCATCAGAAAGTACCCGAAATGCCCTCGGCCGGACGGCGGTTCCCGTCAGGCCGGCTGGACAAGAAGACTACTCTGTATACATATATGCCACTCATCTTTAACTTTAACAAGTTGATATTGTGTGAGAAATTAGAATAGTAAAAATGGTGTGATGGAGGTTTGTGCAGAGGAGATTCAGAAACATAATTCATTGCTTTAAAATGAAATTGATAAATTTTTTTGGGACAAACAAAAAAGGAAAATTGGCAAAGTCCAATGGAACGGAAGGAGTATAATATAATACGTAGTAACGTACTTCAATATTTCAAATTATCGTTAGATCGGGAATCCTAAATAGTAACATTATATGTAATTAACGAGTCTTAGATTTAAATTTCTTTAGGTATGTTTGAGAGTTGGAAAGGGAAGAGAAGGTTCTGAAGGTTGGTCATTGGAAAAAAGGAGAGAAAAATGAGAGGAAACTCCTCTTCTTGTTTAAGAGTAACAAATTTGAAAAGATAGAGATTATGAATAAGTTATAATTAAAACCACTTCACATATGATGAAATTCAAATAGTTTAATTTATATTTATTTAAAATGGAACTAAATTTGGCATTTACTTAGTTATCCTTCAAATTCTCTCAATTTGGGAACTTGAAATTGAACATTTGAATGATTTTGGAGGGTTAAAAAGCCCTCCAAAACCCCCTTCATATTTTTAAACTCGCAAACATGAAATTAAAGAGAGGGCTATATACCCTTATCACAAATAACGTGGGATGAAAGTAAAAAAGATCATTATAACACATTTATTTTTGTTCGATCAACAAGATAAATATTAACAATTATAACTCCCAAAAAAGAAAAAAAACAGGCAAGACAGGTTCACAAACAATAAATGGCCTGGTGAATGATAGATGAGGGGATGAACTAGGAAAATAAAAAAGTTGTGAATTTAATTTTAGGTAAATGTTCATAGTTTTGAGCAATAAAAAAAGTACTCCGTATATGTTACGTTACATAATAGGACAAAAGGAGTACTAAGATTCATATAAAAAAAAGTTGGAAAATCAATCACACGTTATCCCTTGGCTTGTACGTGTATGGATTTATCTATAAAACGGGATAACAACTTCATAACTTTACATGCATCACCATACTCACAAATCTTGAGAACAAATACATATATACATATAATTAGAATATATAGCAGTCTTAGTTCAATTCCGAGCTAAGTATATTGAGCAATTAAAAATGGATGTCAACTCAAGAAGGCAAGTCTCTGATGAAGTTTACTCAAATGATGGTCAAAGGAAGCCCAACAAATACGGACTAGTTCATTTTGAAGGCTGCGAGAGGAGGAACTTCACCCGGCTCTACCCTCACACAGACGGCTCAGATAGGTACTTGGTGAGCATAGAAAGGGTGGTTCGGGTCATCCGATCCGAACCACCCGAAATTAACCATTCGTCGGCTCCGGCCCCGTCCCTGGAGGAGGCTGACGACGATAGCCTTGAGACGGTAAAAAAGTTCTACGACCAACTCAGTTGGGAACAAGACGAATACCGCAGGCCGAAACCCGCCGCCATTACGAATGGCCTGCCAACGCACGCCAACAACCCCCAGCTGCCGCCACAGCAGCAGCTGACGGCAGCTAAACCCATCACCCCCGCCGCGAGGAGTGATCCTGCCGCAGGAAGATCGAGAAGGCCACTACTGAGCGATGGATGGCAGAAGAGATATCCGAAACCGACGGACGGGCCGATCATTACCCCGAAAGAGCAAGATGCTGACCATGTGGTGGCTAAGCTAATGGAGGAGTTCAATAAGAATAGGAGCAGCGGGTTTATTAGCTATAATAGAGAGATGATCCCTAACCCTAACCCTAACCCTAACCCTCCTCCCCAAGAGATGGTGAGGTACTACAAGCAAGGAGTGTCAACGGGTGAGTGGAATAGTCAACGGAAGGCTCCAGTCATAATGGACAGCAATGAGGCCCTCACTAAGTTCGCTGGTGCCTACAAGGAATCCAACTATATACGATAGTATGATGGATTTAAACATATCTTTAACTTCTAATTTAAAGTTTTACTTGCAAAAATACATATTCCGGACGAGTTAACTTGCAAAAATCATTTGACGACCTTCCCGATTGAGTTTTTGGCTGAATTTTTGTGTGGATAAACTAGACTTGACGGAGAACATGCCATAAAAATTTCATCAAAAAATGTCACCGGGAAGGCGGCCAAACGCCACCGTCCGGACGGCGGTTCCTGTCCGGAATTCCGGACATGAATAAAATTCTATATATATATATATAGAGAAAACTTCATGTCAGGCCGGCCTGACGGGCTGCCCCGTCCGGCCGAGCCCGTTTGGGCACCTTCCCGGTGTAATTTTTTGATGAAATTTTTTGAGCATGTTCTTCATCAAGTCTAGTTTGTTCATACCAAATTTCAGCTCAAAATTCAATCGGGAAGGTCGTCAAATGATTTTTGCAAGTTAACTGGTCCGGAATATGTGTATTCCGGACCAGTTAACTTGCAAAAATCATTTGACGACCTTCCCGATCGAATTTTGAGCTGAAATTTGGTATGGACAAACTAGACTTGATGAGGAACATGCTCAAAAAATTTCATCAAAAAATTCCACCGGGAAGGTGCCCAAACGGTCTCGGCCGGACGGGGCAGCCCGTCAGGCCGGCCTGATGAGAAGAGCCCTCTATATATATATATATATATATAGAGTCCTGATCCTGTCCAGACGTCCGGACAGGAACCGCCGTCCGGCCGGCGGCGTTTGGCCGCCTTCCCGGTGGAATTTTTTGATGAAATTTTTATGGCATGTTCTCCATCAAGTCTAGTTTATCCACAAAAAAATTCAGTCAAAAACTCAATCGGGAAGGTCGTCAAATGATTTTTGCAAGTTAACTGGTCCGGAAAATACATATTCCGGACCAGTTAACTTGCAAAAATCATTTGATGACCTTCCCGATTGAGTTTTTGGCTGAATTTTTTTGTGGATAAACTAGACTTGATGGAGAACATGCCATAAAAATTTCATCAAAAAATTCAACCGGGAAGGCGGCCAAACGCCGCCGGCCGGACGGCGGTTCCTGTCCGGACGTCCGGACAGGATCATTTGTGTATATATATATATATAGGGAACTCTTCCGGTAAGGTATACCTTACCGGAGCCTCCGTGCGGCCTCCACGTTTTGAGGGCCTTCCCGGTGGAATTTTTTGATGAAATTGTTTGAGCATGTTCTTCATCAAGTCTAGTACATCAATACCAAATTTCAGCAAAAAATTCAATCGGGAAGGAAGTCAAATGATTTTTGGAAGATAACTGCACTTTTTATATACATATAAAACGCGTTTTATATAACTGCGTTTTATAACTCCAAAAAAGTGCAGGCTAATATATAAAACGCACCAATATATTCCAAATTCGAAAAAGATAACTCCAAAAAAGTGCAGGCTAATATATGCGTTTTAATAGGCCCTCAAAACATTGCACTATATATTACGCGTAGCTTTCTAAAATTTATAACTCCACATAATCATAAGCAGGCCAATTATATTAAGCGGTTAGCCATTTGACATGTAGCCTTCTTTTTTTCTTTCTTTCGTAATACTTCTTCTCATTACCTAATATAAACTTATAATAGGTAATTTTCTCAAATTTTGTCTACAATTACATCTTTGCAAATGTAATACAAAGTATAAATTGATTTTCTTTTTATATATACTTGTACATTTAAAACTTAAACTGTTGGAGGTATTGGTCCTACCAAGGCCTCCCTTCCACTTTATTAGCTGAGGCTTGCACCCTATTAATTTACTCCCTCTTTGATACCTTTTACCTGGTATATTATCTGATCAATTATATACCTGTTTGACTTATCTGGTATGCCCCATTGCTTGCTGTCCGCTGCACTCCCATTTGTCTTGGCTTATACCCGTGAGTTCCATTATTCACACCCGTGAGTGTACTATTGCTTTACCCGTGACTTCTCAATAGGCTGGTTGCCTATTATAAGTCAACACTCTTTCCTCCTTTGTGAATTAAGCCTGCGAGTGAAACAACTGAGAGCAGTGTCTTCCTTCTTCCTCTTTGTGAGTTCCTTTGTGGTTAAGAAGAAGAGAGTAAAGAGAATAGGTGTGCTATAGCTTCCCCTAGTGTGGTGTATGTGAGTAGAGTGTGTAGAAAGACCTGAGCCGGAGACGGAATCCATACCTTACAGTGGTATCAGAGCCGGAGTTCGCCGTCTGCCGCCGTCCGCCGCCGCCGTCTGCCGCCGCCATCGATTGGAGCTTGCGGAAGTTCCCTAAGGCCTGGTTCTTCGCCGTTCGCTGCCCGGAGGTTGAAATAGACTTCCTCTGACCGAAGCTTGAAACCCTCGCCGGAAATTGAAGCACTGCCATCGCCCACCTGGCAATTGCAGAGCCGCCACCGGAGTTTCTAGCTGCCGCCTGAGAATCGCCGACCTAAGTCACTCGCCGCTCGCCTCCTGCCGTCGCTCGCTTCCCGCCGTCGCCACCTGCGACTTTTGTGATTCGCAGGACGTCCGAGTTCGTTCCTCGCGGGTCGTAGAAAGCTGAGACGAAGCAGAGGGGATAGATCGCAGAAGCTGGACTCTGGATCTTTTCGGCTTCTAGTTCTCTGGGCTGGAGCGTTGCTAAAGTGTTGGACTGCTGGACTTGGGCTTGAGTTTTGCTGGGTTGCTGAGCTAGAGCTGGACTTCGGTTCTCTGGAGTGGGCTAGACGGGTACTGTAGCAGTACAGCTGCTGGAAGCTTGGACACTGGACTTGGGCTGGACCTTTGTTGTGCTGGGCTGGAGCTGCTGGACCGCCGGTCAACGCCGGTCAACGCCGGTCAATGACAGTCAACCCCTCTCAGAAAAATCCCAATTTTTTTTAAATTGGGTAGGTAAGGTCGAAACGCTCTCCTAGGGTTTCGCGAAGGTAAGTTTTCAGTAAACTTACTATTTATAACATTTCGGCTTTAATTTAATTTAATTTATTCCCCCTCCCCGCGGGCCGCCGGTTGATTTAATCCCGGCCGCCAACCCCCCAGGTACGTTCTAAACTTTCTCCTTTGTGGTAGACTGTTTTAGTTAATTAATTAAATTGCTTTGTGTTATTTAATTAATTGTTATGCGTAGGGGTGGTTTATTGGGTGGTAGGGGTAGAATTAATTAATTTTAATTTTTCTGCCCGGAATTGTTTAATTGCCATTATGTCCATTTTTTTTTTCTATGTGTTGCATGCTGCCCGGGGTTATTAAAGTGAATACTTTATAGCCCGGGTTGGATTATTTTCTGTCAATTCAGTCTGTTTAGCTTTGTGTTCCTTTGTGGTTGATACCATGGCTGCAAATCAGTATGGTATGCTTCCATTTAATGGAAAAACGGATTTTGATATTTGGAAACAAAAAATAAAGTGTGTTTTAATACAGCAAAAAGTTTTCAGAGCTGTCACTGGTATTTTCCTTGAATCAGAAGATAAGGCTAAGCAAATTGAAATGAACGAAACTGCTTGTTCTACTATTTACTTGAATCTGTCTGATTCTGTGCTTAGGAAAGTAGGTATTCTTGAGTCCGCTAAGGAGTTGTGGGAGAAATTGGATAGTCTCTATACTGATACCTCTTTGCCCGGGAAGTTGTTCTTACTAGAGAAATTCTTTAGGTTTAGGCTTGACCTGACTAAGGATATAGATGAGAACCTGGATGTGTTTAATAAACTGATACAGAATATCAAACAGGCAGGTGATAAACACATAGATGATTACACTCCCATAGTATTACTTAATGCCATTCCCGACTCTTATAATGATGTTAAGTCCGCTATTAAGTACGGTAGGGATGAGATTTCATTAGACATTGTTGTGAATGGGTTAAGGAGTAAGGAATTAGACCTGAAGCATGCTAGGGGTAGTGCTAGTCAGTCCAGGGACTCCGGTGAGGCTATGTTTGTTAGGGGTAGATCTAAGGGTAGGTCTAAGAATCCTAAGCAAAATAGTCAGGGTAAGAACGCTAGTCAGCCTGGGAGGAAGAGTAAATCTAGGAAGAGAGTGTGTTACAATTGTGGTAACACTGGCCATTTCATTAAGGATTGCCCCCACCCTAAGAAGACCGAGCATGCTAGTGTAGCTGTTGATAAATGTGACCTTGGTGATATTTTGATGGTTTGTGACCATGATAACTCTGTGAGAAATTCCCTGTCTGAGCATGAATGGTTGATTGACTCTGGTTGTACCTATCACATGTCCCCCTTTAGAGATTTGTTTTCTACATATGAATTATGTGATAGTGGCTACGTTTCCTTAGCTGATAATAAGAGATGCAATGTGCTTGGTGTTGGTGATATATGTCTGAAGTTTTCTTGTAGCTCTGTGTTTACCATTAAGAATGTGAGGCATGTCCCTGATTTGTGTCATAACTTGTTATCTATTGCTGCTTTGGAGAGTAGTGGTTTACAGGGAAAATGGGGGAATGGTTGTATGAAAATCCTGAAAAACTCGCTTGTTTTGTTTAAAGCTGAGAAGGTGAATAACCTTTATGTGTGTCATGCTAAACCTTTTGCTGAGTCTGTGAATGTTGTATGTTCTGATAAGACCTCTTTGTGGCATAATAGGCTAGGACATATGAGCAATAAGGGTTTAGATGTCATGCGTAGGGCTGGTTATTTTGGTAGGGACTCTGTGACTTCTGTGCCTTTCTGTGAATCATGTGTGTTAGGCAAGCAGCATAGAGTCAGCTTCCCTCCTTCCTCTTACCCTAATCTGTCTAAATGTTCGTCTGTGCTTGAATATGTTCATGCCGATGTTTGGGGTCCTGCCAGTGTTCCTACCCACGGGGGTAGGAAATATTTCCTTTCTATTATTGATGACTTTTCTAGGAAGGTGTGGGTTTGCCTTTTAGAACACAAGTCTGATGTGTTTGTGAGGTTTAGGGAGTGGAAAACCCTAATTGAAAACCAAACTGGCAGGAAGGTTAAAACCCTTAGGACTGATAACGGGTTAGAGTTCTGTAATAAGGAGATGGATAAGTTGTGTGTGGATTGTGGGATAAAAAGGCACAAAACTGTGCCTTATACTCCCCAACAGAATGGGATAGCAGAGAGAATGAATAGGTCTCTATTGGATAAGGTTAGAAGCATGTTAGCTACCTCTGGTTTGTCTAAGAAATTCTGGGGTGAAGCAGTCACTACTGCTGCCTATTTGATTAATAGGTCCCCGTCTGTCCCTCTTGGTGGTAAGTGTCCTGAAACCGTCTTTACCGGTAAGCCTCTTGATCTGTCTAACCTTCGGGTGTTTGGTTGT